AGCCTAATTATCTACCTCCTCTAGCTCTACCCTACCCCCTAGCTCCTACACTAGGTTTAGTCCTCCTTACTTACTAGACTTCTTATATTGCTCTGCTACAATATAAAGCTAATTAAAGATATTAAGCTCTTTATATACTTCTCCTATATTATAGATCTTATCTTTGCTAATAATATTAACTATCCTTTAAGCCTCTAACTATTAAAGCTACTCTAGATCTTTCTCTTTATAGAAAAGATCCTTATTAAAGGTAATATTCTATATTATAATAATTTAATTAAGTAAGGGGATCTATATCCTATATATATTAGATACTCTGTATCCTACTAGATATCTAATATAACCCTAAGGGTTTACCTTAAAAACCCTCTTGTAACGCCTAGCTGCTTAATCTCTATTAAGGGGGTAAGCTTAACAGCTATAGGCGTATATTCCGCTCTAATTAGGGCGGAGATTAGCAGTTGCCTCCCTTATCTGCTCTAGTTGCCACCACCTAAAGTATCTAGTAAACTAACAATCTAGCACTTTGTTAGGTAATATTATATCGTAAGTATAGGACAGGCTTATATTATAGAGCTAAGTTGCTGCTTTAACAATTTTAGGCTAGAGCTTTATTAGTAGGTTAGCACTAATCCTTATTTTAATTAATTTTGTTATAATCTCCTGCCCTACTCTTTCTACTCCTCTATTAGGTTTATAGGTATATACAGGTAAGCTCTTAATTTTAATACTATTATTAGCTACCTAGATCTAAAAGCAAGATTTGCTACGCTAAGGGAGCGTTGCAACGTTATTGTCTTACATAATCTTAACTATGCTAAGCTTATATTAGTTAAGTATTAAGCTCTTAAAATTTTTAAACACCTACATAATCTTATTAAGGTTTTTAGCTTGCAGTAGATAGGTATAAAGCTTTCCTAAGTAGTCGCACTTTAATACCAAGATCTATTACTTATAAGCTATACCTGTTAGCATGTTAAATAGATCACTATACATACCTAGTAGTATAGATGTAGTAATCTTTCCCTTAGTTGTCTTAATATAACCTATTAGGCATGTGTAATAGCGTAGTGCTTGTATTTGCTCCTAGGAGTTCCTTTAATCCTAATATTTATAGCTAACTTAACTAGAGCTTTAAGCGCCTTAGGTCCTAAATAGCCTAATTATTAGTGCTAAAGCTCCTTACTATCGTATCTTAGGTAAGTCGTCTAGGATCGCTAGGGTTATTTAGGCACTATACTTTAGATTATTAGATAAGGAGTAGAGGGCTTATATTCTAGAAAAGTTAAGTTAAACTTGCGTAGTAACGTAGCTAATATAACGCTCTTTCCTAATAATCTAAACTACAAGGTAGTATCTAGCCTAAGGAACTAAACTCCTGCTTTAAGTAATTAAGCTTCTAATATAATATTTATATAAAAACCTTCTACTAACACTACGTTAGTAAGCACTAAATCTTCTGTTTTTGGACCTCTTAGTCTATTAAGAGTATTAGGGATTACTCTAGTCCCTCTACATAAGATTAGAAAAGCTTAAGTTCCTGCTTTAACTATCTTATATTTAACTAATCTAAATAAGCTTTCTTCTAGGTAGCTTATATTATTAACTAGGTGCACTATACCCCTATTATTAAAGATAGTGCTCTTTAATAGAGCGTAAGCTTTAAAGTCTATAGTTAAATAGATCCTGTTTGTTTTCTCTGCTATTAATATAGGGTTAATTAGTGCCGCCTAGATACTACCTAGATAGGTAATTACGCTTGCCTTACTACTATAATCTTAATTAATAGGATAGGACTTAATTAGAGCTTTTCTTAACTCTTTAAATTTTAGATTCCTATTAATCTTTTTCTTAATCTCTAATTATTAAGTAGTAGTAAGCTTGTTACCTATATTAGTCTAAGCTTTAATAACGTTTTTGTATTTAGGAGGTTTCTATAGGTAAGATCTACTATATAGGTATGAAGACTCCTTCTTTAGTTAATTAGAAGGTAGAGCTCCTATTATTATAAACACTCTAGGACCTTTAGAGCTTAATCTTATATTATTTTCTTAGAGAAGTAATAAATAGATCTTAGTAACCTGCAGGAGGTTATAAGTTAGCTCTCCTATTACTAACTTTTTAATAATCCTTTAAAATATAGTTTAACCCTAATCTAGTAAGATCCTAGTAGATAGAGCTTTAAGATAATCCTATACTATAAGCTATCCTTTAATATTAGGAATGTTATATACCTTAGCTTGCGTATATAGGATTGTCTACTCCTTCTACTAGTAATTAGTATCTTAGCTACTTATCTTTGCCTTAGTAAGATAAGCTTTGTACTATAATCTTGCTAGTATTATAGCGCTTAAGTTAGTTAGCGCTAGGTTATTGTAGAGTACTTAGATAAGTGCTTAGAGGGTTACTCTTCCTTAATTAACAAGCTCTATATAGGCTAGGGTAAGGATCCCTTAATCTACTATATTATTAACCTATATAAAAAGGTTTTAGATTACTAATAACTTTAATACCTAATCTAATAAGCAGGCTTAATACTAAGCTATTTAGAGTTTGTACTGCTCGCTTATTATATTAGATAGCGCAATATCTGTTAGTATATTAGGCTTAATAGGTTTATTCTTAAAGTGGTTTTTAGTATCTAGAGCCTTAGGGTCTACCTCTACCTAGATCCCTTTAGTTAGGGCATGGTATCTAAATTAAATATACTAGGTGGGCTAGTTAGTTAATCTAGTAAGTAGGATATCCCCCTTTAGGATTTAGTTACTTATAGTAGAAGAGTAATAAGTAAGCTTCTACTTAAGAAATAGTATAAAGAAAGAGTAAAGCTTGCTAGCTTAGTGTCTAAGTTAAACTATACTCTTAAATAGATAGGACAATCTTTAATAAGGTAAAGCGCGAACTAGGCTTATAACTATAGAAATTTAGATTACTAAGGTTAGGAATAATTTAGGAGATAGATTATTAGATTATATCTACTATAATTAGACTTATATATATAGAGCTTTAGCTACCCTTACTAGAAGGTGAATAATTAGTAAACCTTCCTTACTAGAGCTCCTGCTTTTTATTAGGCACTTAGCAGTAAGCTAGCAGTTGATTAGATAGTGGGTTATATAGGGGTATTAATCAGGATTAATTAGATTAAGATGCTCCGTGATCCAGTTAATATCCCTCCTGCAATATTACTAGATTGTAATACTTATTCTAGGAGATATAGTACTAGCACTTCTTAGAATTCTTTAACTTAAAATTAAAATTATTAAACCTGCCCCTAGCTAGAGCCCTAACTACCCTTATATAGAGAGCGCAATAAGTAATAAGGAGGACTCCTAATAGTACTAGTACTAGCATAGCTAAAGGTTCTAATTTAGATTAGTAACTATTTAATTATATAGATTAAATACTTACTAGATTTTAGATAGATTAGGTTAAATAATTAAAAAATAGGGGATATAGGAATAAGAAAGTTAGTAGGTAGAGGGCTAGTTATATACAGGCTAGGGATAGGGGTCTGTGCCCTAGGAAGAAGAAGTAAAGGTAAAGGTAGAGGTAAAGGTGGATTTATTTTGCAAAAAGCTCTTCTTTAATAAGGGATCTAAACCTAATCCTAAGGATAGGGACTATCCTTTCTCTATAGGAGGGGGTAGTGTAATAATAAGGTAGAATTACCTACCTATTATTCTATGCTAAGTTAGGCCTAATAAAGGCCTAACTTACTAATATATATAGAGAATAGCTCGCCTATAGTTAGGATAGGTATATTCTTCTTATCCTTTTATACAAGACCTATAGGTGTAGGAATCTTATTCTTTTCTATATAGACGCGCACTCCTATATGCCTTTAAGTCGTATAGGATACCTTTTGGATGCCCTACCTACCTAAGTCGTTACATCCTGTAACAAAGATTAAATTAAATTCTACTATCTAGACCTACCTATAGGGTAGTAGCCCTTATATAAACAACTATAAGAGATTATACGCGCAGCCTAGGACTTAATTACACCTAATTAGCTCTAATTACTAGTAAATAGTATAAGGGCTCGCTACTAGGCAGTAATTAAAGCCTAGGGTAGGCACACTAAGTATTAAGAAACTTTAAGAAATAAATATATTACTGTATCACCCTAATCTAGTATAGTTAGATACAGGGGTGGCTTAGGCGCCCCACAGGGGAGCACTTTTGCCTGATACCATAGTATGATGTTGTATGTAAGTACAGCCGAAGTACGATCAAGATATACGAACGCCAGTAATCATAGTACGCGTTCTAAGTTCTGCACATGTGCATCTTCATTTCCTGCTACGACTCTGTCTGGGTATGGTGAGCGCTAACCAAGGATCAGCGTTGGGGAGGGTTGGCCCGGGTCATTGCAGCAATAGAGAAAGTACCGATCGGTAAGTTAAGAGAAAGGGGTTCTGCGCTAAAACTTCACTAATACTCTGGCCATAACCTTTCTGTCTTATACTAGTCAGTGCAGATGATGTTCTCCAAAAAAGTCAATGTACATGCGGCTAATCGTTGCCTAGAATAGTGAGCACAGTGTGCTCCGATACGGTATACGGCGCTAACCTCCCCAAGTTAGCATGGCGGCTGCTCCAAAAACAGAGCCACATCCCAGGAGGTGTACAGTATCCTCCAGTTTTCCCATCATCCTTGGTTGAGCTTTGGGCATGCCCTCCAGAGCACCCATAAGCAGAAGTCTCAGGGAACGCGCATTGTGGCTTTGTGGCTTCTGTCGCTTCTACCTAAGCCCTGCCCGTCGTGCCCATATAAGACTGTGGACCATTTGGGCGTGAGTACTACCGGTAGGGCAGTAGCTTGTAGCGGTACACACAATATAGGGCCGGCCGTACGTAGATACATCGGTCCGAGTTGGAATTCAAGGCAAGTCGGTATAAAGAGGTATCTGCACTGGAAGAAGGGAATGATTTGCGCAGCTCAATCACGTTCTTTTTTATTCTTTCTCTTTGTGGCTGCCCACAACCACGTCCTACGATGGTTTTCCAGACAGTTTCAACGTATGGAGCCTCCATATCGCTTCTTATATCTCTATCAGGAACAGCATTCGCTGTACCTGCAGCCACGGCCCACGGTATTGGCCAATTCCCTCCGGCAAGCAGTACGCCATCGTCGATTGACTGGAAACCATGCCCCCCTGACTGGAGACGATTCCTCCGATGTGCCAATTTCTCTGTCCCTGTAGATTGGGAAAAGCCACACGGCGAACACTTCAACCTGGGACTTGTCAAGATGTCCGCTTGGAAAACGGATCTAACCGAACCAAATAGGACCCTCACTAGAATCGGATCTCTGTTCCTGAATTATGGAGGGCCGGGCGCGAGTGGAATAGCAGCCATTCGCGATTTCGCAGATCGTGGATCGAATGTACCTCAAAGCATATTTGAGTCGTTCGATCTTATCGGTCTAGATCCAAGAGGTGTTGGATTGAGCAATGGCATTTCATGTAACAATAAGATACACGCAGAGAATGTTGCTTACGCTCCTCAGAATGAGGAAGAGTTCAACAAGATGGTTGATAAGAACAGAAGATACGCAGAGTCTTGCCGAGAGCTTACTGGGCCGTTGTTTGAGCACTTGGATACTATCAGGTAATCTCTCACTCTCTTCATTTGTGCACTCTTCTCGCTGACCAAAACCAAGCGTTGCGAAAGATTTCGAGGCTGTCCGTGTAGCTTTGAACGATGGGCCAATGAACTTTCTTGGCATGTCGTACGGAACAATGATCGGCGCTCAGTATGCAGCCCTGTTTCCTGACAACATTCGCACTCTAGCCCTCGACAGCGTCCTGCTGCACTCGCCGAATGAAACAATGATGCTTCTTGACGAGGCGACAAGCATCGGCCTTGCGTCGAAAGCTTACTTCGAATGGGCCAGTACTTCTGAGGTCTCTGAGCTCAGAGGTCAAGATGTCGAAGCAATGTACAATGCGGTGCTCGCGAACGCAACAGAGAAGCCTATCCCTGTACCCGATTGCCCTGACAACAATGAGTGCACCACCTTCGTGACAGCTCCCAACATAGCTTCCAGTATACGTGGTTACCTCGGTTTCCCTATGTTGAAACCTGGACAGATCGGAGGGAGTTACGCAGCACTCTCGAGAGCCTTCATTAATGCGACCGAAGGTAATGGCTCCGGATTCATCCGTTCGAACGGTCCTGACGCCTTCCTCGCCATCGGCTGTCTCGACTGGGTACACTCGGCAACTTCCGTGTCCGATCTGCTCGCCAAGCAAGCACTGTTGAAACAGTATGCACCCATCTCAGGCACTGCACCAGGAATGTGGGACTTGCAAACCAAATGCATTGGCTGGCCATACAAGGTCAAGAATCCTCCAAAGAAACTCCACATCAAGACCGATGCTACGATACTGGTCACAAATGGAATCAATGATGCTGCCACGCCTATGGTATGGGCCCAAGGCCTCATGGAACAGCTTGAGAATGCCGTATTTGTTACCAGAAAAGCTGGAGGACATATAGGTTTCAACAAGGGTGGCGCGACAACCGAACTCATCGCCGACTATCTGGTCAGTAGTATAGCTCCCGAGGCTGGCATCACACTAGATAACTAAAGAATTATTCACACTTTTCATTTGTACCTTCGACCTTTTACATTCAGCTTCGGTCGAAGGAAGTATTTTTTGTTTATGGACTAAGTACTTGGTTAGGTCTATTCTAGAATGGAGACGAAGTGTTGATAGAGCTTTTGGATACAATATGATTTCAACTGTCTCTCAGCTTGAACATGGAAAGTATCCAAAACCCCCATCAACACTTCGCCTCCATTCTAGAATAGACCTAGCCAAAGCCCAAAAACCCAATCCATCCCATACCCCTGGAACAAGCAACCCTCATTTCAACGAGCGAAACCCAAACATACCACGCTTAGACTCCTCAAACCCCAAACTATCAGTACTAAACTTACTCACTAGCTGCGGTCTCGCAGTCCGACATCCACCAGACTCCAAACACTGCTCCCGCACCGCCTCAACTCCACAATGAACACGACGCTCACCACGTGGCGGCGAACTTGCAGACGCATCAAGCGGCGCAACATCACCTCGCATACCATCATGTACCCGCCACGCCGCATTCACCACCCGATCCGCACGCGCCTGCTCCGCATCGTACAGCTCGTCATCGCGCGCCCACTTGCTGTTAAACTCGTTAATATAGCGCTGTGGAATCGGTTCCTGATACCTACGTGACTTGTGCGTAGTGGTGTCGCGCCGTTGGGCCTGTTCGTAGCGTTCGTCTGTGAAGTCGAAACCAGGGGTTAGAGCTCGGCGCGTTGCATTTTTCACCTGGGAGATTTGGAGGCGGTGTGAGGGGGAAAGGTGGGTGGTTTGGTAGGGGGTTGGAGTGTGGGGGGTGGTGGTGGTGGTGGAGCAAGATGAGATGCTGTGTTTGTGGGAGAGGTGGGATTCTATTTGGCTGCGGCGTTGGCGTTTGACGAGATCGCGGTATTCGTCGCTGGGGAGGCCGGTGGATCGGGGGGTTGTGAGGTGTGTGGGGGAGTGTGAGGTGGAGTTGGAGACTTTCGAGGAAAGGGTGTGGTTTGAAGTCATTGTGGACGTTGAGATTGGTATGACAAGAAGGTTTGTTGGAAGTCTCGAGGATAGTCTCGTGAGGTGGTTGTATCTGAGATATCTCGTCTTCCTATCTTCCTGCTGCTGTCTTGGTCAGTGGTGAGTGGATGTGTGGAGAGGGGCAGGATGTTGTTATACTACGTTGTGATGCATAGTGAACAAACAATAGTTCCCAATCTGGAGTTCTCTCACAAGGTTGTTAATATTATGAAAACAACTCTGCATTCACAGACGAAATTCTCTATGTCGGTTCTGCACAATGCGTAGTGCACATTGCATTCACCCTGACAAACAGGGCAGATCATCTCCTCTGCATCACTCGTCACAACACAGATTGTCACAATGTACATATATGATCACAGAAACCTCAAAGCACCCACATACTCAAACTCTCCAACGTCCATCTCCCCGCACCATACAAACCCACAGAACAGCTAATTTTCACTAACACCAACAACTCAACCAGCTCTCTTTCACTTGTCATGGACCCTTAGCAAACTACGTCATTCCAATTCAGATTGACCACGCCAATGACAATCACCATCTCCAGCTCCAGCTCCAGCTCCCATTTCAACATGGAATCACTTACCCAGTGCCCTTAACCCCGATTCCCTAGTAACAACCACCACCATTGATATGCAGCAAGCCAAAGCCTTTTCGTGCCCACAAAGCCGAAATCTCCTCCAAGCTAGATGACACTTTTTAATGGTGACGATGTTTGCCACTCTGATCATTACCATGACTGTTAATCTTTCCACCCAACACCACGCAGTGCACAATATACACCGAAAAATTCGGACTAGATGGGAAATACAGTCCTACACTTTGTTTCTCTGCGTTGGCTCTTTCACTCCCTGGCGTGGTGGGATCTAATTTACTCCAATCTGGCATTTTGAGCGGGAGAGGCTTAGTTTGCTTTGCTGGATGGGCATTCTTTTGCTTGAGTAGGGCAGATGTGGTGGAGTATAGGCTGGAGTTTTGCAGTGCGTGGTATGGTTGCAAGGCACAGTTGGTGTTGTTTATACATATATGTGTATATCCATTTCTGAGAAAAGAATTTGCATACTTGTTTTCCAAAGTACTATCATACATCAACGCCCCATCCCATTCATGCTACAACGCCAACGCCAACGCCAACGCCCCCGCACCCTTCATAACCAACCCATCCAACCCCCACCACCCTATTCCCCCTCCTCCTCCTCCTCCCAAGAAAACCGCCTCACCCGCTCTCGCTCTCCACCCCTATCTAAAATCCAGTCAGCACACACACTTCCACTAATCATCCACACCGCGCTTGCACCAGCCAAGCAACACAAGAGTCTTACCAGTAAACCCACCACCATCCCGCAACAGCTTCTGCGATTTCACCGCCATCTTCGCATTTGCACTTGCGCGGTGCGTCTCGCCTTTACCTGATTTGTGCGGCGCGAGGAAGGCATCGAAAGTTTTGTTGGGGTGGGGGGAGGGGAGCGGGTGCGGGAGCGAAAGAGAAGGGGAAAGAGAAGGGGGAAGAGAAGGGGGAAGAGAAGGAGAGGAGTTTGCATAGGTGTTAGATGCACGGATCAGGGTGTTTGATGAGTTCGGAGGGAGTGCAGGGATGCAAGTATGCAAAGTGTGAGGACACAGAGGACGAAAAGAAGGTGTCGGGGCGCTGGAGGACCCAACATCACCCACACAATCTTCCGCACCAGGAGAACAAGATTGCACCCGAGGCAACATGGCCCCCACATCCTCCTCATCATCCCCAAGCATTTGCGCATCAAGACTCGGTACCCGAGACCAACGACGCACATTCTGCGTCGCCTTCAACATCGTACATCGGGCAGTCTGGACATCGTATTCAATAGCCGCGAGTGCTTTTGAAGTGTAATCCTTATCCAGGCTGCGCGGTACAAGTTCTTTTCGGGATTCGTGGTGGTGGAGGAGGTGTTGTTGTGTCCATGGTTGGAGGCTGTGGTTCTTTTGGCCGAGGGCGAGGGCGTGCTTGGCGGGGGTTGAGAGGGCGTGCGGGTAGTAGCGGGGGTTTTTTGGTGGGGGTTTGATGGGGGGAGTATGTGTGGGTGGAGAGTTGGTATGGGGTGTTTGGGAAGAGATGGGTTGGGGGTCGGGGTGCTGGGTGATTGATGGAGACACGGTTGTGGGTACTGACCATGTTTTGAGGTCTGGGTAGTTGAAGACGGTGGCTGGATGAGGCGGAGCGGGGTTGATTTTAGAATCTTCTTCCTCTTCTTGTTCTTGTTCTTGTTCTTCTGGCGGCTTGAGATCAGAAAGCTCGAAAAAGTCAAAGTTGAACTCCTTGAAGAGCTCTGGAGACTCAACCACCGACTGGACTGCCTTACCTTTGCCCTTGGAGGCTGCTGCTCCAGACCGACCCTCATTATCTCCCAAGTACGATAAATCAGGCTGAAGATGTGGGCCTTGCAAAGTCGCACTTGTCTCCATGGCCTCGCGTGTGGTCTCTGAAGCGGCGGCTGAGACCTGTTGTTTCTGCGCAACGACAACGGAGTGCGAATCCATGGCTCCTGGCAGATCGAAAACAGCCTGAGATAGAGTTGGTATTTGATTCGTCTTCTGCAGAGATGAAAAGGCTGGCTGTGCGTAGGTCAGGACCCTTGATGGACCGTTTGTCCTTGGCAAAGTGAATGCAGATTTGTCTTAGATCTTCCGTGGTCAATGATATCCCCAAACCTTGAATCGAACGTAGACACAGACGCTTGTTTGCTATACTTCCACGCAAAACACTTGAATGAATTGTTGATGCATGTTGCTGGGCAGATGGTAGAATCGACTATATGTCTGGGGTTGCATGACACTGTGAAAGCAAACTGGGCTGGTAGACCACATTGTGAAGGCAACACGAGAGTCGCCAGCGAACAGTCCATAATCTGCAGTGGAGCGCCGTTGCAACGCATTTTGGGCGAGTGAATGTTAGCGTAATCTGTGAAGAAGAGCTGCATTTATGTTCACTACGCTTTTGGAGAAATGGCTGCGTGAGAGACGAGGTGAAGCTAGCCTTTTCCACATGGACTTTGACCGAGACATTAGGAAGACCATGTTTCTATACACTAGTCTATAAGCGAACTGCAGTATGCATAATTAGCTATTGTAACCAATCTGAGGTTGAGCCGCGGAAAAAAGTTCTAATGTTGAAAGTCGCGGGCTCCATGAAGTCAAAAGTAAAAAACAAAAACTCACTCTGTCAACCCTGCTCTAGTGCAATAACATCGCCATCGCCACACAGAGTCATTAACGAGACATGATAAGCGACCAAACCAAGTTTTGAACTGTTTTAATACTGTTTTTGAAGAAATCTTTACTACTTGAAAACATAGGAATAATGGTGCTCCTGCTTCTCTGGCAGGTAGGTAGGTGCTGTACGCTGAAATATTCGCCGCTCGCGGCAGGTCCGCAAAATCCTCTTCTCTCTTTGAAATGAAATGTTCCAGTGTGAGTCGTGTTTCCCCCCTTTTTCGCCGTAGTTTGGCAGATGAGTAACAACTTGTTTGCATCGCCTTCTCCTCTTCTCCTCACCCAGATGCCAAGAGATCATGTCCCATAGTATGGGCTGTACGGTGATGCAAAGACCAGTTCAGGGGCTTATCTGATCGATGCTTATACCGGTGATTCGTCTTGAGACATCCACATCCAATTCCGTAATTGGAAAATCTCCGGGTTTCGGTTTCCGAACCTCTGCGCCTCGTGGCCCGTGACAGGCCGTTTTCAGGACGCCCTTTGCACTCATAATCAATTTCGATGGCATGCTATTTATGCCGGGGGAGGGGATGTACAAAGATGCTGCTCAGTGGACCACGCGTGATCTGTGGCCGTGCCACGTCTCCATGTCACAGCATCGCCGCTCCAGCGGAAATCACGCTCGCGTTCAAGCAAACACCCATTGGAATATGCCCAATAGCACAGCGCCAGCCGCAATGTAGTTCGAAGCAAGGGAATCCTTGCGCACGCCGGCTGATGTGATGGTAGAATTCGAGCTAGTGACCCTGTCTTATATTAGCCTCTGAATTGATTCCACGTGCGAGAGTTGTAAACTGCAGTGGTCTGCTGAATCGAAATGTGAATCCATCTGTACCGAAAAGCTTGTTTTTGCTTGATGGAGTAGGTCATTGGAGAAGTAATAGTTGGGGGGTGAAACAGGTGCAATGGAAAGAGTGAAGAATCATCTCATGCCCTTCCAAGCTGTGCGTGGGGCGTGTGTGGTGAAAGACTTACTGTTTCAAATGTAATCCCATATTGTCAATGGCATGGCATTGCTTCACCTCTTCATCAGGTAAAATTTGCATCCGCACAACGTTGTCGTCGCTGAATGTCATTCTCTGCCTAAACGTTCCAAAGTCCTCCCACAAGGGGCTCTCCATTCCTTGGCCCTTGGCCAGGAGATACTCAGTCGCATGCTTATTTGGGTCGTAGCTGCGGATGAAAGACGCCCAATAGGCTTGGGCAAAGACACCAGCGGCAGATGTGGCATTGTTCCAGATGGGGAGCAATTCGCCCACGTGAGTGGCTGTACCGACATTCCATCGGTATTGCCATGTGGGATGCGAGTTATCCCTGGCGAAGATGTCAGACATGTTGAGGTTGGGACAGGTGTAGCGAATATGGCCGTAGACATCTGCTGCCAGGGTTCGCCAGCGAGGGTCTCGCCTGATGTCTATAGGGCCTTTCCAGACTTTCGCAATTTCACTCCACGAGGCGCCGGGGAATTGGTCAATGATGAATTGTTGGGCGCGGGGAAGCGAGGTGACGTTTCTTGGAGTAAAGATGGTGCCTTCGTTTGTGGAGTCGCCAAAGATTGTGGGCACCCTGATGAAATGGCCGTTGCGGAGCTCGTTGTAGGTATAGTCCTGAACAAAGTCATAATCTAGAGTCGGGTTCCAGAAAAAGATTGGGGCGTTGCTTGCGCCGGGGAAGGGCATCCTCAGAGATTGTACGGCTGCCTGAAATTTCACTGCATCCATGTTCGTAAGACATTCAAGGTCTTTGCAGCCCGCCTCTTTCAGCAAAGCTTCGTACTGCCACTGACTGTCCTCGACATTGCGAAGAGGTGGGAAAGCGGCAGATTCGGCAGCGGCGGCATGAAAGAGCTTGTCATCGCGGCCACCGTACGCTGTGAGTTGAAGGACGACTGAGCCGCCACCGGCGCTGGCTCCACCGAGGGTGACATGGTTTGGGTCGCCTCCAAACTTCTTGATATGTTTCTGAATCCACTGCAGGGCAAGTCTCTGATCCTTGAGTCCGTTGTTCAAACTGAGCGTCTTGTTTTCGGCGAGTTCCTTGCCAGCAAGAAATCCATAAGGTCCTACGCGATAGTTGAAATTGACCACGACGATGCCATCATCACCAGCATCGATCAAGTCTGCGCCGTTGTAATCAGCATTGCCGTTGACATTGAAGCCACCGCCCTGGATGAAGACGTAGACAGGCAGATTGCTGTCATTTTTTGCCTTTGATGGCGCAAACACATTGATGAAGAGGCAATCCTCCGAGTAGTTGCCGCCAAATTCAGCGGTTAGTTCAGTTTCAGTACCAATGCAGAGCGATCCAAACTACGGAGGCGTCAGCGTTTGTAGACGCACAATCAGGTTGGTGTAGGCGTACCTTGGTGGCGTCTGTCACGTTTCGCTCGTACTCGGGCTCTTCTGGTGCGGTAAACCGTCGACCATTGACTCGAGACACCGGCCGGGCATAGCGCATGCCCGCCCATCGTGTAATGCCATTCTCAATCGTTTTCCCACGATATCGCGCATAGCCAAGATCAACAGTAACATTGACGGCGACAACAGACTGTACAATCGCAGCTGCAGCCAGCCAGAAATTCCGCATCGCTCCTTTGGCACTGCACAGAAGGAATGAATGTTGGTGTTTGGACAAGCAAGTGATCGTCAGGAGTAGGAGATGGTGGTGAGCCGCTGTCTAATCAGTAATTACGAAAGCCGCAATGCGGGCTCTGAGGCCGGGAATCCCAAGCAGCGCTACCGTACAAGATAGCAGTGCAGACCACCAGAAACGAATGACGAGGAATGAGGGGCCTGGGACGTGTGCATCACTGCGCCCAGTGGAGGTTTATCTCAAGTGGTTTCTGGAACAGAAGGGGGCACGAGCCTTTGGTGACTGTGTACCATGGTCAGCTAATCACATCATTCGGACCTTGTCAACGACTCGACGGTGGCCAAATACGAGCCCCTAGATTTAGATGGCGATCTCTAAAAGAAGGAATCGCGGCGCTGGGGGGGAGGGGGGGGGGCCTCGTACAGGGCAATGGAGCCGCAGTAGTATGTTCCAACTAGTCAATTTAGTGTCAAAGAACACACCCGCATGTTTGCGTGCAGCGTTGCGCTTGTGAATATGGTGCAGACGAGAAGATTGTGAGCATGCTGTTCGCGGCGGTATTGCGGGATATAAGAACTTCGCTCACGATGTTTGTCCGTCAGCTTCCCATTGCACATGCAGAATCCCAGACGTCCAAGACGCATGATGCCCAGGGGCCAGGCTCTGGTCTCGACTCAAGACTCAAGTGTGCTGCGCCTTTCCGGGGGTGCCTAAGCTCGCGGAGTTATTGAAGTGCCAGATTACCACCTATGGAGGAACGTCGTCGAGGGTGCCAACCCCTGGGGACGAGGGAAAGCGTCTGGCTCATTGCGACGGTGGTGAGAATAGGAATTGTACGAGGGCATCATGGGGGTTTTGTTGAACAGCTGCGCTGGCTCACAGTGCTGAAGGGAGCGGGTGGAGTTAGATCCGGGAAGGTTGGATGTCCAAATGTCGTCGGTCCCTGATCGGAGCCAGGTTTGTGTCCGGAGTTGGCAAAGATCAACCCAGAACGTCCGCCAGGCCATCTCTCATCACGGTTCCTGAAACATTCATGTTACTGTGTCTCGGCGCCTATTCTTTTCAATGGAGCAAGCCATGGACGATGGGCAATGGGCAATGGGCAATGTTGAGGCATGGTAGATGTGGTTAGTCTTTAGGCAAACACCTGCATCCTCCGGAAAAACCATTGTCGCCGCCATACCGGTAATAGGTACCGGTATCCCAATAGCCGTTTACGATACCGTACGGTAACGTGTCACAAAAAGCCACGATACTCTGCTGCCCACCCCTTCGTATCCAGTAAGTCCCACGCACGCCAGCCCTACCCACACCCCATCCTCATTCTCAGCCTGCATCTCTCTGCAACCCAATACAATACACACCACCTCCCCCTTCTCCGCAAACAAGGTCCTAGGTACCCCCAAACTGCCAACCCCACCATCGCATCGAGCCATGATAAGCCCATCCCCATCCATACCAGCCCGCCCCCAGACCACCTTCCATGCCTAGCGCCCCACCATCCAAAACAACGCAGAAACCTTCTGGGTCTGCCTAGCAGCTTGCTAAAAATAGAGCGTGTGTGGGAATGAAGCAGGGCAGGGTAGGCGGGGTGGTTTAATTCGGGAAAGTTTACGATACTGTACGTGGACTACTTTGGTAGTGTACTGTCAGTGTGTTCTGGTGGTTGAAGTGCGTTTTGGAGGGTTATGGGTGGAGGGCTTTGTGTGTGGTATGCGTGTGGATGGATGGAGGGATGGATGTTATTGAGACTATTGCCTTTTATTTCAAGGCCAATGAATGACATATATACACACTACTTCCCCACTCCTCCACCATCTCCCTCATAAACCCCCCAACTCCCCCTCAAAAATCCGTAACCCGTCCATTATAACTCCAATCCGCCCTAGCCCCCCACCTCAACGGCTCATTCTTTGGCCCCCCAACCTCACCCGTCTTGGGATTAACATCGCCCTCAAACTCCGGCGGCGCACCGCGGCGCATATTAGGATGGACCTCCTCGCCCTGTCTAATCGCCTTGCCGGTTTCAAAGCGGACGGGTGGGACAGTGCTGGCGCTGGCGCTGGCGCTGTCACTGTCGGGGGACTGGTTGATTTTGAAGCGCGAGGGTGGCGTGGACGGTGCCGACGAATCTGTAGGCGAGGATGAGAATGGACTTCCATCTGCCTGAGCGACGCCCTCGCCCTTGCCCTCGCCCTCGCCCACCTCCTCCCTCGGTGTGCTAAAAGCCCCCCGACTGCCCTTCTGCAGTCTCTCGAAAATCTCCTGCTCCTCCTTTGGCAGGCGGGGAGGCGCAGGCCCCGTTGTAAAAGGCGAGGAGGGGCGACGCGGGGTGCGGCTGAATGCGCGATTGGGCGCGTGGCGGGTAAAGAAGAGGAGGGTGCGGGGGAGGCGGGGGCGGGGTGTGAGTGTTGACATGTTGAGTTGGTGGTGGTGGATGAGCTGGGTGATAGGTGGCTGCCGTATGCTCTTTTCCGGTCGTAGACTTGTCCCTCACCAAAAAAAAAAAAAAAAAAAACTCCAGTGAGATCTCCGTTCCTGTGTAGTTCAACGGGATGCAAGGCGAGGCGTGGCGTGGCGTGGTGTGGTGAGTGTGATTTGCGACGTGAAGTTGAAGAACAAGTTCAAGTTCAAGCCCGCAAAGATGATCGTGTAAAACACACTACGCCATCATCCCCAAGAGATCGATACGCCACCCTTACCGCGCCACGCGGCTTAAAAGTCCCGGAATCAAGCCACACATGTCGAGGAACCAATCAGGTATTACGCCACACATGTGCAGCAACACATGCATCTTCCAGCAAAAACGTGACAACACCATGCCTACTATACCATGGGAAGACCAAAGGCCAAGATAAATTGCCTGCAAAATTGTAGTTTGAACCATGCAAAGGCTTATTTCTATGCCTACTGCATTCACCAGGCCAATATGCACTCGCCCATTGAAAACTTTCACTTTCCTTCTCCAAGGTGTCCATAGTCCCCTTGGTAACATTGCATTTCCAAACCCCAAATAAGAGAAAGTGAGAAGGACCAGAGAGTTTCAACATGGCATGGCATTACGAGGCACAAAACCTCGACGTCTACAAATGTCCCCCTACTCCAACTTTTCATCAAGTCCCCCTTTCTTTGTCTCAACTCCGAAATCGTGTGTAAACCATCAAAACACAGAAAAAGAAAAGAAACGCTGGTCTCGTGGTGTAAGCATTAGATATCCACGCATTAGCTAACGCAAAGAAGAAACCACCGCCCTTCCCCCTCGTCAAGCTGACTATCCACCCCCCCCCCCCCCCCCCCCACCTTTCCTAAGCAATATAGCCCTCGGCAACCCCCAAATGCCTAGCACTCCTCCCCGCATCCAAAAACAGCTCCTCACACTCCTCAACCTCCTTCTCCCCAATCTCGCCACCCTCCCTGCCATTCACCTTGGCCAGCACGCTCGCCGGCGCCAGCAACTGCAATGCATACCTTAGGCTGACCTTCTCGCCCAGCGCGCTCACCTTGTCCTTTGCAGGCGCCGAAATCGCCAGCTTCTCCGTCGTGACGCGGGTGCTGATGATTTGCTTGATTTCGGGGCCGGTGTAGGGGTGCGTGGGGATGATGAGGAGGCGGGCGAGGAGGTCCGAGGGGATGCCGTGGGCGGAGGGGGGCAGCGAGGCGCCGCCGCGGATGTGGGTTGAGCCGCGGTTGGAGGCGAGGATGACGAGTGGGGAGAGGGGGGATTCGAGGGCGCGGTTGAGGAAGGTGAAGGATTCGAGGTCGAGCATGTGGACCTGGGGGTTGATTTTAGTTTAAGTATTACGAGATGCGGTGGGCAAAGACGAATACGTACCTCGTCGATGAATAGCACACCGGGTACCAAGTCGGCAACACCCTGATCAATATAGCGGTTGACCACTTTGTTGATTTCCAGCCTCAACTTCTCCGTAATCTCCGTCTTCTTGGGCTTCATCAATTGACCCATCATACTCATGATATCCTGTCCACCCTGTGGTCTTGCATTGGCCACATCGAGGTCATGCAGCGTGACATCCTGTACAATCTCCTTCTTCTTGTGCACATCGCCCTTTGGTATGGGCACGTACTCTTCCGCCTCGAGATCGAATTCGGTGGCATAGGCATCCGAGCGGCCGACGCGCTTGACGGCGCCCGTGTTGGCTTCGATGTAGATGACGTCGCCGAGACGGACGCGCTCTTTCTGTATCGCTTCGTATATGGAGGGGTCGAGGCGCAATTTCTTGGTGCCCTTTGCGGACTTGAGGTTGATGAGGAGGTGGGAGATGGTGCGACCATAGCCGCCGAGGGGGTTCTCCGCTTCTTCGGGCGTGAGCTCGGTTACTTCGCCTTCGTAGACTTCTTTGGTTTCCTTGACGCGGAGGCCTATGATACATCTGTCAGGACATGGTTCTGAGCGGGTGGCTCGAGACGTGTCGCTCGCCCAAGCTGACCCGACGTGCCTTTAGCGGGCAGAACGTACCAATGGCTCTCCTGAAGTTCTCCATGAGCGCCTCCGTCTTCTTGACCTCGGCGCTGTAGATTTCACTTCCTACAATCGGGCAAAACGGCACCTTGGTCCCCAGCTCCTGGCTGACGGCCAACGCGAGCGCAGTCTTTCCCGTGCCTGGTCCACCAGCAAGCAGCACGGCTCGCCCCGACATCTTCTTCGCCTTTACAAGATCGACAACCAGACCGCATGCCTGTGACACGTTAGCTGACTGCGCTCCAAGAATGTTGGTGTGCATCCATCAGGCGCAACAGACCTCTCGAGCGGCAGCTTGGCCAACAAAGCCATGGGCAGAGGGGATCGCGCGTCCATCACCCGACAGCCCGAGGCCCTTGATATGTGAATGCGCCGCGGTACGCGCAGAGCGATCGTGTGCGCTCTTCACTTCGCTGACTGGCACCGTTGCCATGTTGTGCTTGGCGTGCTGGGTCGCAAAGTCGAAGCTCGCTACCTCAGCCTAAGGCAGTCGGTCGAAGGCGATCGACTATCGTGTGGATACGCGAGTGCTGGGGGTTCAGAATTGGCTCTCGCGGGAAGGGAATGAGTAGGATGATTGGGGAGAGATGCGATCGGTATGGTCGCGCACGTCGTCTGTTTGTGTAATGGTTGGCGGTTGTTTGGTGGTGGTCCCAAGGTAAAGTTTGAACCATGTCAGGGCGTTTTCTGGGTTTCGCGAAAGCTACCTAGCGCGCGTCCTGCTTCCTGGCACTCTGCTGGCCCGGCTCACCTTCTCAGCGCACACCACCGACTGCCCGCCAGACAGACAGACAGACAGACAGACAGACAGACAGACAGACAGACAGGGCCATTATCGGCAAGGCAGGCCAGGCCAGGGCAGGCCAGGGCACCGCAGAGAGAGCACCTCAAGGCTCCAAGTCTGGTCACCCGCCCCGTTCCCCCCCACTCCACCACTCCACCTCTCCACCTTCATACCAAGTGAGAGAGATGGGACTGAGCACCGCTCTTGTACACTATACACCAATCCTGTCCTCATTCTGGCCCCAGAACACTGGTCCGTCTGCTGTGCGTGCGTCTCGCTATGCCTAACCTCCTACACCTTCCCTCTGCCTTGGAGCCCTGGCTTTCGAGCCTCGCGCCTCCTTCTCCCCGACGCTTCCTTCACTACCTACGGCGGCACGTCGCACTACCGAATCCCGACGACGGCGACCATCGAGGACGGCCCTTGGGTGGCGATGATGTCGCAACCCCCTATATCTACAGTATTTTGTGTCTGCTATCTGCAATCACGGGATTTATGACTGACAACCGGCTCAGGTGGCTCATCGTGGTTTTCGTCGCTACCCGTCCAGCTGTTCGACATGTCTATCCGTCCCCCCTCTCCGCCCTCTACCGACAGCTACACGCCATTGCCTACCCGACAGACAGCATGCACGACAAGTCCCCTTCCTCGGATACAGCCATCCCAGCACGAAATCCTACCACGCACGCACACGCGCACTCACTACTGAGCGGCCTGCTGCATCCCTCTTCGTCGCATCTGCCACCCGCACGTCGCTGAGATTGGCTGGACCTCGTTTAAGCGCCCATGCCGGAACGTCACGCTTGCATTCACAAAACACCACCTGGCCAATTTCACTGGGAACATCGATAGTCATACTGTCTGCATTCTCCACCACGCCTACCAACTCACACACCATATTTGTACAAAGCGCATCATGGCCCCAGCATCCCTAATCAGCCGTTACCCCTCCCTCGCCAACCTGTCCTAGCCTGAGGATGAGCATCTGTCACCAAGGGCCAAGACTCCAGAGACGCTCTCGACTCTCGTCCAACTCGTCACCTGTAACCGGTCCAAGAGCCTTCGCTGTTTGCAAGCTGGCTGAGTCGCGGCAAGGAATTCCAACGCGCTCAAACAACCCCACTGGTAGGCCTGGCGATTCTCTGGCTCAGCTAAGGTAGAAATTCCAACGCACATTCATCGTACACTCATTGACATGTTTGGTATAGGTGCCCAATACTACCAATCGAGGCCACCCAAAGTGAACGTCCAAAGAAGAAACAGAAGGCATCGGTCGGTAACAATCGGCGGAGCATTCGAAAAGCTTGCCTTGATGCCAGTCACGGGGTCACGCCAAGATTCAGAATCATCTCGTCAAAAAAGCTCTACTCCTCCTCGCTTTCAGAGGCGCTGTCATCATCGTCGCTCGACGCATCATTCGCTAGACGAGTTAGTCCTGGGGAACGGACTGCCAGCGCAGACAACTCACCAGCTGGGGACTGACTGGAGCCGGACGCGCCACCCTGGAAAGACTGCAATTTCTCCTGGATCTTGCGCATATTGTCCTCCTGCTCCGTCTTGCCCATGGGCTTATTTTTCTTGGGACGGCTCGCAGCCTGCTTCGCCACCGGTCTCGGCGGCTCGAAATCATCATCGTTCAAGGTGGCCCCCTTGGGACCACGGATGGTCTTGATGAATCGATGGAGCTCGCGCAATGTATCATCATTAATTTCGTCCATGTCAAGCTCCATTTCGTCGTCGTTCACATTGGCAAGATGAGGACAACCATTCCTGATGATCTGGACGGCACGCCTCATGTCAGCATCGCCAAGCGTGCTGATGCCCTCTGAGATCTCCGACTTCTGGTTGAAAGTCAGGGGCGCAGGTGGCTTGACCTTCTTTTGCGCCTTGGCATTCTTGCTAGGAGGAGGTGGGACATTCAAGCTCTTCTTATTCTTGGTGGGCGCCGGCGCAGACTTCTTCTTCTTGCTGCTTGGCGCTTTGGGCGAGGCACGCTTACTGGCCGTCTGCTGCTGCAGAAGTTGCTGGGCTTGAGCATTCAGCTGGGCAATCTGCTGTTGGAGAGCAAGGAACTGAGCCTGAGCCGGATCAACTTCCTCTTCCTCTTCCTCCTCGTCTTCTTCCTCATCCGAGTAGAACTCGCCATGGGATTGTTCCTGAGTGGGTGCGTGCAACGCGAGCCAGTCAGCCTTGTCCTTCCACAAGCTTTCGAAAAGATCTTCGAGCTGATGGCCCATCTTATTCACGGCATCGCCTTCTGGATTGAACTTGTAACAGTTCTGGAACACCAACTGGGCATCCGCATAAAAGTCCTTGGCACTCTGGTACAAGCCATTCTTTAGGTTCCTCTCAATCGTTCCGAAGTCCATGGGCTTCTTGATGATTTTGAGGTAAGATGGAATGTTCAGGGCCACAGGATCTACGGGAGAGGTAAAAGGAAAGGTGATGGCAGAATACTTTGGCTTCATGAGCTCTGTCATCACAGACTCACAGAACCGAAGTTCCTGCTGGTACTTCTTCCGCCTTGGCTTAGCACTGGTGTACGGCAAATCCTTTGAAGGTCTATGTATCTCTCGTTTCGGCCGGCCATCTGCAGCGGATGAATCTCGGCGAATGAGAGGTGTACCATCTTGCTGAAGAGGCCAGGCAGCTTGGGGGGACATGGCTGTAGGCGTTGGTACTGCAGGAGCCTTGACTGTGGGTACCGCGACCCTCGACTCACGGCGCTGCTTTGCATTTGCCGTGCTCCCCGAGGGTTTCTTGCTCTTTCCCTTGGGCACTGGCTCTTCAGCAGCACTTCCTCGAGGCATCTTGCCCATGCCCTTCAAGAAGTAAGCGCGCAAATTGTACCCTGCTTGCGTAACGGGATGGTGCTTGTTGTTGAACAATTCGCTATTCTCAATCATCTGATCAAGGTCTGCCATGAATTCCCTGACATTGTTGTACTTCTTGTCCTTCAACTTGTGCTCCATTGTCGATAGATCCATTGGATGCTTGACGATTTCAGGGTAGGTGGGAATGCCAAGGAGTACAGGATTGACGGGATCCTTGAACGCGAGAGAGACCTTGATCTTCTTCGTATTGCGAATCCTCTCTAACAAAAACCTGTTTTGCGCTTCAGTCATGGGACCCGGCGGCCAATCTTCGTAATCGACGGCCTTGTGGACACCCGACTCTTGGCCAGGGTCCGACGCCGGCCCCGCAACCGTGCTGTTTCCATTGGGCTGTTCGGTATGCGCGGGCACATCGGGGACCTTGAAGTCTTGCTCATTGGAAGTTAGTTCTTCGGTCTTCGTTCGCTTCGCATCAGGAATGTCATCCTCATCATCTTCTCGAGGACGTACTTTGCCCGAGGGCGGCGCATCTTCCATCTCGCGGTCTACAACCGTTGGCGATTGTACCGCATTCGGCTGTGCGACCGGCCCATCAGAACTAGCATGGATTGTAAGATCATTCATGGGCTTCGTCGGCGCACCAGAAGAATCCGTGGGCTTTGTGTCTTCCGGTACGTTGGAGGTCGTGTCCATGACATCTGGAAGAGGCTCCTCTTTTGGTTCAAGTTGAGTTTCAGGCACATTTTGTGTACTTTCGTTCGTTGCTTGGGTAGCAATCAAAAGCTCTTGCTCTGTGGCTGGCTCTTCGCGCACATCCGAAGTTGGTGCTTCCACAGCATTGGTTACGGTCGCCCCCATGTCGGAGTCGCCAAACAACGAGTTGTTGTCTTGCTGGTTGTCTGGAAGAAGTTGCGCGACACCGTCGATGCCGCTAGAGAGGTTTGTGGTCGGTTCAATCGCAGGCGGAACTTCTGGTACTGCTATTTCCTCGGTCGTGTGGTTCTCTTTCGCGCCATTTAGAGTTGGGATGGGTGGTGGTGTCGGCAAGTCTTTGATCGCGTCTGCGGCAGGATCTGCTTCATCAAAAAGAGCATCATGAACGCTTAGGACTGTCAGTGCATGTAGCGCATGGCAAGGACGCGTTGACATGGCAGGCGCAAGAGTGCCTGATGGCGAAGCGGAAGAGCCACTTACCCGTTTGCCTCGGTATCTACGACCATGGCGTCTGCCGGCGCAAAAGCGCTCGCCTTGAGATCCACAGTCGATTTTTCGATGACAGGTGAAGTCATTACTGCCATGGGTCCATTAACGTGATAGGCGGATTCGCGCGCGGCTGAATGTGTAACTACAGTGGTCGTGGATGCTGCCAATCTGAGACTGTTAGCCATTTGCATCTTTATGTCGCGCGACGCGTGTGGCAATTCGACGCGTGAAGATGACGGACCGAGCTTGGGGAGCTAAGCCAGACGCGTATGTGGTTGGTGGCGGGGTCGACGCAAGCGTGGTTGGGGATCGACAGAGCAACAAGAGGATCAAGGAGGGGCAGGGAGGAATATATGGTGCAAAGGATGATGGAAACACACGTGACGTACTAGAGGTGGCGCCGGTGAGGTGAGAGGGCGACGACGGCGGCGGCGGCGAGTGATGATTAGTCAGACTCTTTCACGAGCGCGTTTGTTGTGGTGAGGCAAGGCGCGTGGATAGGCGGGAGGCAGGTAAAAGGCTGGGCGCAGCAGGTGTAGCCTTGTGTTGGGGTGTCGCAACAACACGATCTAGTGGTTGGAGATGGCGCGCACGGATGGTGGTTTAGGTTGAGGTAAGAGAGAGTCTGGGCGTGGGAGATGGATTGGCGGGAAGGCTGCAGTAGGCTGGGGAGGGGGATGTGCAGCGTTAATTATGTTGTGTTCCGGGGTCAGTCGTGCAGGGCGAGAAGCTAGGCGTGGTTCGCGGAATGGACGGTTTTGGGATTTGGGAGATAGTGGAAAGGTGATGGTGGTGGTGGTGGTGGTGGTGTTGGTGGTGTTGGTGGTGTTGGTGGTGGAAATGGTAGTGGTGGGGTGCGAGTAATGCACGGGGATCCGGAGCAGGAGCGAGCAGGAGCGAGTTGATTGGAAGCGAAGATCGGGAAGAGGACCTGAAGAACGTCGAAGACGAAAGGAAGAGAGGGAAGGTCGACCTTAAAGATTCCGAGTCGCCGACGCGGTGCCAAGCAAGAGCCCCCCCTGAGTTGCACTAACCACGAGCGGTTACGTGTCCTTGCCGCTGCCATCACCTCACCGTCGCTCGGCCAGTTTTGCGCAATGCATTGCAGATTATCATCTAAGAAACCACCCCAATGCCACAATGTATAAAGTGATCTTGCAGAGCCTCTCATGGCTGTTATCAAA